ATGTATTGATTTTGGGTGTACTAACACATTTGTGGACGCTGTAAAAAGTGTATGAATGACAATTTAATGAACGATGGAACGAGCAAAATTATTGAAAACAAGAGAGAAAGAGAGAGAGAGAGAGAGAGAAAGAAAAGGGGAAGGGGGAGTGGGTGATATAAGGAATAGTGCTGGTCTGCCTTTGAATGTTATGTTTTGAACAAGAGATTGCGCTCGTGATAACTATTGTTTGAGCTATTAGCAGGTACTCTCGAAATTGATGATAAGGACGTAATTACGACGCCAACTCTAAATGTGTCCAGAAAATCAGGGGAAGCCCCTGACGACATGGTTGAAAACTAATCATTTACAATCGTTGTTATACAGAACAATGTTTTTGTAAGGGGAACAATGGCGCTTAAGGCGATGCATTTTAAACAGCTGGAATGGGTCGCAATTGGTTTCAATGGAGATCTACATTCATCAGTAAAAAAGCGGGAGTACAGAGCGATATTTGATGTTTCTTCATAATATCATTTCAGGGCAAATAAAAGAGAATACATCTAAAAAAAATCAATCCAAAGAAATGCCCAAGGTGCATACAAGTATATATCAAAAGGCAAACCTACTACATACAATATTGAATGGATCAAGATAAGTAACGTTTAGATATTAACTGAAAGAATTGGACATCAAAGACAAAGACGAATGCATTAAGTTTGATTACATTACGAAAATAGCCTTTGCCACTGGTATTATACTTCCCTCCTTTTGACCACAGATTTTCAATTTAGCCTTAAAATGGCAGGATTTATATGTTTTGTAAAGCCATGTATATTTTAGGGGGAGAATGATAGCAAAATTTGATTCTAAGATAATGGTAAGTGTTCATTATCTCAGGTTATAGATACTAATTTAATTGCTGTTATATTGTTTTTGAAAATCTTTAAAAATAATGTTAGATAAGCAACTGTAATCTGTTTTGGACAGGGGATAGAAAAATAAATCATCATAGTTCTAAGCTGGCATTACTGGCGTTGATAAAATGTTACGAACATTCATTTTATTTCGTCCATGCACATAGCAGTTCTTTTGTTATGCATCCTTAATAAACTTTTATTCAATTGTCATTTTGATACAGAGGTGTTGAAATGATTTTTACAAACACAAAATTATGGCTATTATTATTATTATATGTTAGGCCAATCATAAAAGCACAATACAATTACATTTTGACGGATCATGCAATACATAAACAATACAAGAGGAAACGGGAAGGAGCAACGTGTGGGCCAGGGCTCACACAAGTGAAATTTAACGCTATTACCCGGAGGCATGTGAGCCCTCACATGTTGCTCCTAAATCAACTTAGATATAGACATAACATTGACATATACGCACAATATTGCACATTGTTAAAGTAAAAATACATCTGAACCCCCCCCCTCCCCCTCCCTCCAAAAACCAAAATTAAAATGACACATTTATTACATATCTCATATTCCTACAAATAAGGATATCATTTAGATGTACCAAGGAAGATATAATCATTATGATACAAGCAGCATTATATGAAAGTAATGAGGAATTAAAGAGTAAGGGAAGCTGGTATATGTTTATGGGATGACAAATATGATGCTTGGCGCCCCACAAAGCAGTTGACTAAACCTTTCCACTTGCATTAAGACTAGACATGTTCAGCCGTTATGTATGCATGTCTTTTCTTCCCTCTTGTATCTTATCATTTCAATTTGAACATACTTAGTGGTGACTACTCTGATCACTATTTTAAAGTATACTATTATATTCAGGAAAGTTTACGAAAGTGAACTGTGTCTCTCGTGAATATCGTTCCACGGTTACTGATGTGTACTGAGTAAGACAAGAAAGAAGAAAAGAATATACAATTACCTACTGAAACATTTTTTTCAACAGAGTTATCAATAAATTGTGATTTATGTGATAGCCAGTGATCCCTTTTTAATTGATAAATTGGCGAGAAAGGTGGAAAGAGAAGAGAGATAAAGTGCAAGAGAGGGAAGAAAGGGAGGGAAAAGACAAGAGAGCACAAGAAAGAAAGAAAGAGAGGAAGAAAAGTGAGAAAGAGAAGAGAAGGAGGGAAGGTATGTGAAAGAGAGAGAGAGAGTGAGAGAGAGAAAGAAAGAGAGAAAGAGAGAGAGAGAGACTGAGAAAGAAAAAGGGGTGGGGTCGATGTTACCAGGGAGGTGAGACAGTCTCACCTCCCCGATGTTACTTGTAACCTCCCCTTTAGTGTAATGTTTTTAACATGAGATGGCGCTCCAGCAAACCAGGGGAAGTCCCTTCAGACTGTATCAAAAATGGTGGCATGGTGGAGAAATAGTTATCTGGGACCATTGTTATTTACTAGACCACTAATTTTGGTGTGCGAGAAAGGAGTATTATTGGCGCTTTAGGTGATGCAATAGACAGCTGGAGTGGGTTCTACTTGATTGTCATGGATACCTACATTCATCAGACAAAGCGGCTGTAGTAGACAGCAATATTTGATCATGTTTCATCCTAGTCTCATTACAGGGCAAATAAAAGAAAGTCCATCAGGAAAAGTCTATCCCAAGAAATGCTCAAAATGCATAACACTAAAAAACAGAAACGAAATTTAAGAAATTTCATAATGCAAATCTATTTCATATAATATTGAATGAATCACAATTACAAAAATATGGACATGAACTGAAAGAATTGACGTAAGGTTAAGTATGTAAAGACGCAGTTATCGAAGATGCATGCATTTGATTTGGTTGCGTTGCGCAAATGGCCCATTCGACGGGTCTTTATACTTTCCTCTTGTTGAACACAGATGTTTAATTTGATTAAAGTATCCAATACCGTTTCCCAGACAATACAAAACAATACGTAGGATTTATCCGCGAATTTTTTTTCAAAGGAATTTTTTTTTCTTCAAATGAATTCATGTGAAACACATTAGATGACGTACGTATAACACTGCGTGTTCATTGGAATATTGTGTTTCAAGAACTTCCTCTTCCAAAGCAGGTTCTACTCTCACGAATATCGGTTGCAAACAGAAATGCTTATAGGAATTCAACTCCGACATACATACGTACACCGAAATGGCCGTAAGTTTGTATTCAACCCTGTCTTTACTGTTTATTGTTATAAGCAGTCCCTGTTTGGCGATCTATACTATTTCAGGTAAGTTTGTACAAAATGTGTTTTTTCTCGCAGATCGAATTATATTAATTTGTAGCATTTACAGCAAAGCATAAAGGAATAGATTCTTTGGTATAACATTGGATGCAGATATAAGGAAGTGCAGGGTACATGTCTATTGCATGCTCTCACTGTTTGGTGTGTAAATCCTCAATGCTTTGTATTGAAGGAAATATTTAGTTTTCTTTTTTCTCAAGGGGAGAGAGAGAGGTTTACTACTTAGCTTGTAAATAAACTGCATTATACCTTTTCATTTTATTATTGTCACTATCTACATTGTACATGTATATATATACTTTGTGTTTTAATAATAGTTGGTTCATTGTTCATGTTTGTACTTTCATACACTGTATACCTATTATCGTTTGTATATTTTATCATCTACATGTATGTATAATTTATAAGAATTGTATTCATAAGTCATGCATTGCTATTCATATTTTTATGTTTGTTTGTACTCTCATACCCCGAGATGGGGTCAAAGAGTCAATAAAATTCTACAAATTCTATAAATTTGCCTTACTCCTATAAGCGTGCTTAAGTAAGATATCCATGACATTCGATGTTCAATGGCTGTTTAGAAGTTGTGTTTCATCGGTCCTTTACTTGAGGCGACAAAGGCCTACACGTAGCTAGGCATATCCGGTACGGAAATTCTGTTGATTATCAGGGGCGGCGATGTTTTTTGTCGTGGCTGGGGGCGTGGAGGGTCAACACGGGGGGGGGGGGGGCTTTTTGATTTGGCATATCATTATCATTATTATCATCGGTAGCATATTATTATGTTTGTCCTTGTTACAAGAACAAATGAAAATGAATGTTTGATGTTGGATATTGTAACCACTCTTCTTAATCTCCTTTTAAGGATACTGTTTATATTGATGAATTTTTAGAAGTCACGGAAATGAGTGAAAACTAGACTTATCTATATCAGGAATTCCATTATCTGGACTAGTAGGAAAATGTAATTAAATGAACGGATGCAACCCCGTAAAAAAAAACTTTGTTCGGTCTTGTTAATGACTAATTCCACGAGACTACCTTGTGATGGCCATGTTCTTCCTGAGGCTCTGCCATTATTAATACCCCAATATTACCAGGTAGCCATTTAATACCCCTGGGTCGAGAGGGAATGTGGGCAAAAACACACTAAGGACGTAAGAACGAAGCAAGTATCAAACCCGGAACCTCTCGTATGAGATGGTTGGAAATCACCATTCCTTTAAATATGTGGGATAGATGGAGATTTGTCACTGTCTTGTGGATACGTCCCTGGACTGTGGATCAATGGTCCGTGGTTCGAGCACCCCCGCGGCATAAATGACCTTTGGCAAGATATTAATCTATATTTGCCAATCTCCACCCAGGTGAAGTAAATTGGTAACTGGTATAAATTTATACCTTGAATGCTTTTAGCGCCTTAGGGCAGCTGGGCTAAAGCCAGGGTAATAATATTAATTGTTTAGTTTGTTAGTTACTTAGAGCACCCCTTGGGATGGATACGTGCGCAATATAAATGTAGATATTTTAAGTAGTAGCAGTATTATCACCACTATTATTATTAGTATCATTATTATTATTACAGTATTAATATTATCATTGTTATTATCAGTATACAAACGCACAAATACACAAACAACATTATGAATACAACAATCTCAATAATATTTGCAGACTACAGATTGATCACTAAAGATCGACCCAATGCCGGCATCGTTGAGGTTTTCAACCAGGACATCGGATGGGGGCTCGTTTGTCAAAACAATTGGAATTTCGAACTAGCGAGCTTAGTTTGTAGTCAACTAAACTTCCCAGGAACTTCTCGTGATCTTACGGCATTGGATTTCAACGAAGAGGAAGATGAGTGGCCGATGTCAGTTACTAATTATACATCAACATATTTTACAGACTGTTCAGTCAGTAAGTGTAATAATAACCCCGAACAGTACTGATTGAAACATAGATTATACAATAACAACAACTGTTTTATGCATATGCTTTATATGTTTCCTATATTGTACATGTTGTATATGTATTGTACACCCTGCCAGTGACACAATTATGGACCAAGGTTCAAATATTTTTACTTCTTTGTTTATTACGCTGCATAAAGATGATACATATATGTATATAATGAATAGTAATAATAAAAATAATAAAAAAATGACAGTAATAACGTTAATATTACAAAGAAAACAGGTAATACTGATACCCTTAATAATACTAATACTACAAATAATGATACTACTAATAATAATATGAATTATTATAATAGTACTGATGAAAATAATGATAACAATAATGATAATAATAATGATCATAATAATAATAACCCCATACTAACTACGATCTCGTATCCCAAACACCCACATACTACAGATGGAAATAGAGTTTATTTGAAGGAATTGTAATTAATTTCTTTCAGATGGGATGAATATGCGATGTGAAACGTGCGACAGTGAATGTTTCTGTGATCTTTATACATCGATAGGAGCTGTTTCTTGCAAAGGTAAGATGTTCGCTTATCATATTTAGTTTACTGTTTAATGTGCCTGTATGCTTTTGTTGGTTCTGATTTTAAAAAACTATTTGTTGCCACATGATTATTCATGACACTGGTAAGTACATTTGTAGTGACGGAATATAATACGAATATTCACATATGGATGGCTTTCTGTCTTCATAAATAGTTATACTTCATATTCTGTTTTGCGTCTGGCATGTGGAGTTTAATAGGGCTTATCCTGTTCTTACTTAATTTAATTGGTCTGAAAAGTATTCTTCAACACCACTCCTTCCGATATCATATTTATGCAGATGATATCCGAAAAATCACTTCATTCGAAACTCACCAAAGCAATGCAGCCACCTTCATCCATAATCTCGATGTTTCTGTACAGGGTGCTAATAATCGGTTAAATTCACATTCAATGAAACTGAATCTTTCAAAATGAGGCCGCCATCCATCTCCAGCCTAACCGCTCACGATGGTGGTCTCCTTCCGTTCTAAATTACCTCTCTAATTTATTGAACAATATTTACTATATATTTCTTATCTTATTCGTATGCTTCGTAATGTTATTTATTTGATATAATTGTATATGATTTCTATTTAATAACTTTAAATTTGTAAACATTTTATTCAATGTATATGTTGTTGTTCAAATTCATGTACTATAAACTTGAATTTGTACCTTTTTGAACGCGGAAATAAAATTAAAAAAACAAACAAAATGTAAATTTAAAGTGGATTGTTAAAATACTCAGTTAAAAAGGTATCTTTTACTTATATTGTCCTTGCTGGCCATAATATTACTGTATCTCTTAGTGTCATAACCTCGGTGTGCTCATGACTCAAATTTGAATTGTTTAAAAATAATATAAAAAATCTGTTTAATTCGGCATATAATTGTTTCGTGTTTATGTTCTATCTTATTCATTTTCCTTTGTTTATAATGCAGATGCTTCTTTGTGATATTTTTTTTTTTGGGGGAGGGGGGGTAACAAGTGCCGATTTCTGACGGAGTCGGTTTCGGATTTGAATTTGCAGTGCGAAGATGGCATTTTGAAGGTTAGGTTATTGTGTCGCAGATGAAAGAACATATCCTGGACTATTAAGAGGAATTTGTTAGAACTATGTATGATCTATGAAAGATAGTGGAGATATGAAGGAAGAAAGAAAGGACTTAAAATGGACCAGAAACGGAAAATTAGTGCCTGGGCGGTTATATGCATGAGGAATTTCGAAAATCGAAGAATGTAGTGACCTTGATGATATGTTAGAGACTATGCCTCTGAAATTTGAAAGGAAAAGAACATGAGGAAAGCACCGAACTAAGAATAACAAACATTACGTGCAAAACGAATGCGATTTCCTGACAATAAGGATAAGGAAAATCCGGAGAAGAATATTAATGGGGCAGAATGTGAACGAAAACAAGGCAATGACGATATTCGTAATAGCAATAACACGAGGTTCCATTTGAAATCTAGCTGAATTGTGCGGGAAGTGTTTCATTATTATTGTTTTCATTTATTTCTTTAATTCAGAACCAGGTTATATTGGATGTTTCAGTGATTATAACCGTTTAGGACCCGGCAGAGATCGCGTGCTTTCCAATCGCCCCCGTGACTCTATCGATATTCTCACGATTGACCTGTGCATTAACGCATGCGCAGAGGACGGATACTTCTATGCAGGTGTAGAATGGGGGAACGTATGTTTCTGCGGAGGACAAGATGAACACCTTGTTAAACATGGAATCGCTTCGGATGGAGAATGTTATTATGTTTGTGCTGGAGATCACCTTGAATCATGTGGGAGTTTAGATTTTATCGCCATCTACCAAGGTAAAGCCAGGAACGATACGGAAATTAATTTATTTTTCATTTTTATGAGGGTAGGGCACTCTTGGGGAGGGACATAGGGGGCTGGAGAGGGTGTTGAGGGTTCTTGCATTAAAACAAAGAATGAGTTTTACATGTTTTTTCGCGATGGTGTTTTTAACCCCCTCCAAAAGAAAACACTATAAGAACACTAATAGGTAAAGCTTGTTACGAGGATTTTGACAAGCTAGTTCAAAACCCTAGAAATACTTCTGCTAAAAATTCATTAACTGTCATTTAGAGAAAATAACTTTATTCATTTTCCGCACTACTTTGCCTGTATAAAAATTCAATATTAAATATGAACAAATCAAATAATTTACTTAACAATTTCCTGCCAATGAATGGCTTTTAACGAAATTCGATTTTCTCTACTTAAAGAAAAGGTTGAGTTCTGGAAGTTCTGAGTTATGCCACATGTGCGTGATGTAGTCCCATATACACCTTTCTGTCTACAGTGCTTGTTACTTTACCAAGACTGGGCCAAATTTCGTATCGTTTTGATGATTCCAGAGACTTGCAGTACACACTAATACTTATGCTAGATGATAAACCTTTTCTAATCGATTCCACATCGTTTCTTTCACATTGCAATCGCATGACCAGAACTCAACTTTATCTTTAAAGTTTTTGAGCTTATCCATTCTCGTTTAGTTGTTAATTGCACATGATTGTTATAATATTCTCAAAATATGCGACACTATTCGTTGTCATTGCAATTTATGTTTCCAAGTTGGCCTAGGTGTTTGTGAAGACCCTGGTACCCCTAATAATGGATTCAGATTCAATGAAATCGGCTCTCTGCGCTACGGCAGCAAGATATACTTTAACTGCTCCGACGGGTACACACTAGAAGGCCCTGACGTTATCCAATGCGTGCAGATATACGGTCGCAGAGAAGATGTTGGCATTGGCAACATCACCCATGCCGTTATGTGGAACCATGTTCTCCCAAAGTGTACAGGCAAGTATTTCCATTATCACTTTTAAAATATTTTGATTCGCGAAAGGTTTGTTTATCAATTTCCGGAACCCAAGGCGGACTTGGTTTGAACTTATACTAATAATGTTCTTCATACTCTTCAAACGTTTAAAATAGAATATATAGAATGCCTGGTAAACCTGTTAAAGGTTGATTTTTATACATTTTAGTAATACAGGCATGATTATTTGAGTGATTGGTACACTTCATTGCCACCATTAATGATGATGATGATGATGAAGATAATAATAATAATTGTAATGTACTCTTAATTAAAAGGTACAAAGATGAACAATCGAGACAGATTGATAGCACACGTTTGATACTCTTGGTATAAGATTCCAAAGCAAGTTTATTTCGCGTGGCGCATGCTCAGCTTTACAATTGTGGCTCATTGTATGCTGCCATTAATATGTAACAATAATAATGATACCACTATTACTAATACTAATTTAGATAACAACAACAACAACAAGATTAATACAAATATGATAATGATTCTAATTAAAAACTTTAATTATATATATATCTCACATCACTTTTCAGTCCCTATGCACTTTAATTTTGAGGTAACGAAATGGATAGAATTGGACAATAATACCAAAAATACAATTCAAATTAAATACCAAGGAAACTTATCTTAAAACTACTGATGAACAAATGAGTTTTCAGTCTGTTTTTTGTTGTTGATTGGCCAATATTTACTATTTTAACATCTTTATTTATCCGTGTATCACGTTTATTTACCATGATGTTTAGGATTCAGTTCGACTACACCCTCTTCTGCGACTACCAAGGGCGGAGGGCAAGCTAACCCAGTGACATTCATTCAGACAACTGACCAAGGGCAGCATAGTGGTAAAAAGATAATTATTACGTCACAAGTCCTGTACGATTGTGGTAATATAAATCCAAATGAAAGGGTTACATGCAAATATTTCAGCGATTACTGACGATTTTATCATAAAAAGTGTGAAAAGGAGAATGATGAATTAAAAACAGAAAGGATTATCAGTACATGTATTTCCGGTATTCAATACAACTTTATTTCATGATAGCCTCAATTACCACACATCATATGGGTAAACATAGAGTTAAAGAGAAGGTTGAGTTCTGGGGAGAGGTGAACAACTCGGGCCGGCTGGTTTTAGTGCGTACTATAACCAACATGAAAAAGTCAAACGAAAGCCAACATTGGCATTGGCCAGAATAAAACGTTTAATGTGCTATTTCGTTTTTTCAACGGCTGGTTTAAAATTATCGTATATATTTTAAGGGCCCCATAAGTATTAGAAATTGTTTTATTTAGGGATATTTAAGCCGTTTCTGAACCTATTTTGATCAAGCAAAGATGATTTTGTCATTTAAGTTGTATGCTGTTTCAAATTTGACATTTTTTTTCATTATCTCACAAAACAATTATTTTTTGTAGCGCCCTCTATACCAAAACTCAACTATCCCTTTAACCTATAGAATACCTGGTAAACCCGTCAAACGTTTATTTTGCACCTTTTAGTAATACAGAAATGATAATTTAAGTGATTAGTACACTCCAATGTCACCCATAATGATGGTGATGATGATGATGCTGTTGGTTGACGATAATATCAATAATAATAATAATATTAATAATGGTTCCAACAACAACAACAACAATAATGATAATACAAACATTAACAATAATTATGATAAAAATTATGTATATAGCGCTTTTAATTAGGTCTGCTATCGAGCCCCTTTACGCTTAGGATTAAAAAACGGATAAAATTCGACAATATACCGAAAGTACAATTCAAGTCATTTACCAAGTAAAGTGATTTAAAAAGTGCTGGTGAAAAAAGTTTTCATTCTGTTTTTCTACCGGCCAATATATATATATATATATATATATATATATATATATATATATATATACACTGTATAAACATCTTTATTTACCATTGCATCATGTTTATTCACCTTAATATTCAGGATCCAGTTCGTCTACACCCTCTTATGTGACTTCCAAGGGCGAAGGGCTCACTAACCGAATGGTAGTTATTGAGACAGCTGGCACAGAGCAGCAGGGTGGTAAATAAATTCTCATTAAGTCACAATTTTCGAGCAATTGTGGTAATATGGATGCAAATGAAATGGTTACATGCAAATATATCAGCGATTACTGACGATTTTATCATAAAAAGTGTGAAAAGGAGAATAATGAATTAAATAAAGAAAGGATTATCAGTACATGTATTTCTGGTATTTAATACAACTGTATTTCACGATAGCCTCAATTTACACACATCATATAAGCATACGTAGAGTTAAAGAGAAGGTTGAGTTCTGGGGAGAGGTGAAAAATATTTTGTGAGCATTATCATTTTCATTATCCAAGTGTGGAAGAACATCAGAGAAAAAATGTTCCCTGAAAATCATGGATCTTCAAATGCCTACATATTCTAAAGATGACAAGTAACAGCTTAAAAATGAGGCCCGATTTGTATGCTTTTGCTTATGTAGTCCCATATACATCTTTCTGTGTACAGTGCTTGTAACTTTACCAAGACTGGGCCGAATTTCTTATCATTTTGATGACTACAGAACCTTGCAGTACACACCAATACTTATATGCTACATGATCCACCTTTTCTGATCGATATTCCACACTGTTTCTTTCACAATGCAATCGCATGACCATAACTGGTCTTTATCTTCAGGTTGCTTAAAACTATTAGAGTCTATACCCGGTATATCTGTTTGTACTAGTATATAAAACAGTGTAAAACTAGAGGAGGAAAGGGTCTTGTCTCCGTGCCCCATGCCCCCTATATAGGAAAATCATTGTGTGGTATTTGAAATGTCTGTGTACTATAGCCAGCCGCGTACGCAGGGGGGGGGGGGGGGTTAAACCCCCCTTGAGTTTTTTTATGTGTGTGTTTTTCGGGAACCCCCCCCCCCCCTTTTGAAATTTTTATTTTTATTTTTTATTTATGTTTTTAAAATCCTAATGGATGACCTTAAAAAGATGATCTTACCCCCCAACGGAACGGAATGTCGATCGGTCATATTTTCAAACCCCCCCCCCCCCTTCACCCCCCCCCCCCCCCCCGCTTATTCAGCGGTTGGCTGAGTCGTTGCGAAATTTTTGGCCCGATTTCAAAATGTTCAAATCCCCCCTTGAAAAAATCCTGCGTACGTCACTGACTATAGCAGTGGTAACTAATTGCCATTTAAAAAATCAATGTGGCTCATACCGGCTAAAAAATTGTAACAACACTTTTAACAATTTCTGTCTTTTACCTAGGTCACCAGGTCATCATTTATATCAGTATTGGCATCGTCTCTGGCCTCCTCATCATCAACGCCATCATTGTCGTGGTCGTTATTTGCAAAAGACATAGAAGGTAAAGCTTATTATTATTATTATTATTATTATGTCTCATATTATAGGCCTTTAATGCTGTACATGTTTGTGAGCGTTTTGATGTGCTTACTCGCACCGTGCTGGTTTCGTCTTTTACGTCCAAGACTTGAAAATCAATAAAATTGACCTTTACCCAGCAACAATTTTGTTGTATTTTACGTCCAAGACGTGAATATTAAAATAAAATTGTTTGGGAGACATGAACCATGTACATGTACACGTAAAGCACGGTAAGCCTTACATGATATGAGTTGGGAGACGTTATCACACTTCTTTTTTTTGGGTCGATAAGCGTATTCGTACATACACACTCTGAAGCTTGAAGTACTCTCCAGGATAGCCCAGACCACAGCTGCAGTGACCAAACTAAAAGTCATCTGAACAGACAAAAACATCGCCATCAGCTCCAAGATCCAGGCCCGTAGCCAGGCGGACCGAAAATTTCGCAACGACTCAGCCAGCCGCGTAATAAGAGGGGGGTGGGGGGGGGGGGGGGGGGGGGGGGGGGGGGGGGGGGGTAAGAGGACACTTTTTTTTTGGGGGGGGGGGTCTCAAAATTTGAAAAATTTGACATTTGGCTCCGTTGGGGGGGGGTAAGGTTACCTTTTTAGGTCAGCCATGGGAATATATATATATATATATATATATTTTTTTTTTTTTTTTTTTTTATAATTAAAAAAAATAAAAATAATAATAATCCAAAGGGGGGAGGGGGGTGTTTAGGGGGATGATGGGGGGTTTACAAATATACAAATACCAAAGGGGGGTTAACCCCCAAACACCCCCCCCCCCCCCCCCCTGTGTACGCGCCTGCCCGTAGCCAAGATCGGTTGAATAATTTTGACCCCTCCCCAGGACGTCGGTCAACATGTATGTGCCCCCCAAACATCAAACTCTAGCTACGGCCCTGCCAAGATCAGACTGATGCGCTCCCTGGTCATGTCCATATTTTTGTATGCGTGTGAAACGTAGACCATAACAGCTGACATTGGAAGAAGGATACAGGCACTGAAGATGAGATGTTTCCGCAAACTCCTCGGTATCTCGTATAGAAATCACATACCCAATAAGGTAGTGAAAACCAGAATTGAAAACCCTATTTAAGTAAAAAGACGCAAACTGAAGTTGTACGGGCACATCACACGATTATCAGGACTGGCCAAGACTATCCTACAGGGAACAGTACGGGGAGGAAGACGAAGAGGCAGACAGAAGAAACGATGGGAAGACAACATCAAAGAATGGACTGGCCTTGACTGGAACATCATACGGCGGAAAGCTGAGAACCGCGAGGAATTGAGGAAGCTGGTTGTAAAATCTACAGTGGTGCCCCAACGGTCAGCCAGACTACGGGACAGATGAGATGAGAAGAGATCGTACTATGTTGAGAAGTTATGCACTTTGCCATTTTGGGAAGAGCTAATAAAAACGTTTAAAAAAGGCGGTATACATGTACGTGCTTTTGACAGTTCTATACATGGTATTGCGATTTGCGCGAGAACTAGGAATTGGAGACACGAATCATGTACGTGCACACGTAAAGTTCGACATGCCTTACATCATCGTATCAATTGGGAGACGTCATCATGTTTTGTTAGGAAGTTTAGCACTTTGCCATTTGGGAAAAAATAACAAAACAGTCTTAAAAAGGCGGCTGATATACGCGCTATTGACAGTTCTACACATATTATTGCAAGTTACGCAATTCTTCAAATGGGAAACGTGAACCTATTACATTTACATGCACACGAAGAGCACGACGTTCCTTACATCATGATATGAATTGGGAGACGTTATCATACCATGTTGAGAAGTTATGCACTTTGCCATCTGGGGAAAAAATAACAAAAACGTGTCTAAAGGTGGTATACGTGCTATTGACAGTTTTATACATGGTATTGCAATTTGCGCGAGAACTAGGAATTGGAGACGTGAACCTATTGCATGCACATGTAAACCAAAAGTTCCTTACATCATGATATAAATTGGGAGACGTTATCATACTTTGTTAAGAAGTAATGAATTTCGCCATTTTCTGGAATTACTAACAAAAACGTTAAAAGAAGGTGGAATACGCGCTATTGACAGTTCTACAAATTTGTGCGAAAACTAGGAGAGAGACACATGAACCAATTACATGGACACTTTTAGAGCATGTATAGAGCATCATCATCAGTATAGTCCATCATCACACACGCTATTCGTCAGTGCCATCAACCATCAACAACATCGCCACTCGTCATTAACACGCTATTCGTCAGTGCCATTATCCATCAACAACATCGCCACTCGTCATTAACAACACGCTATTCGTCAGTGCCATCATCCACCAACAACATCGCCACTCGTCATTAACAACACGCTATTCGTCAGTGCCATTATCCATCAACAACATCGCCACTTGTCATTAACAACACGCTATTCGTCAGTGCCATCATCCATCAACAACATCGCCACTCGTCATTAACAACACGCTATTCGTCAGTGCCATTATCCATCAACAACATCGCCACTCGTCATTAACAACACGCCATTCGTCAGTGCCATTATCCATCAACAACATTGCCACTCGTCATTAACAACACGCTAATCGTCAGTGCCATTATCCATCAACAACATCGCCACTCGTCATTAACAACACGCTATTCGTCAGTGCCATCATCCACCAACAACATCGCCACTCGTCATTAACAACACGCTATTCGTCAGTGCCATTATCCATCAACAACATCGCCACTCGTCATTAACAACACGCTATTCGTCAGTGCCATCATCCATCAACAACATCGCCACTCGTCATTAACAACACGCTATTCGTCAGTGCCATTATCCATCAACAACATCGCCACTCGTCATTAACAACACGCCATTCGTCAGTGCCATTATCCATCAACAACATTGCCACTCGTCATTAACAACACGCTAATCGTCAGTGCCATTATCCATCAACAACATCGCCACTCCTCATTAACAACACGCTATTCGTCAGTGCCATCATCCATCAACAACATTGCCACTCGTCATTAACAACAACACGCCATTCATCAGTGCCATTATTCATCAACAACACGCCATTCGTCAGCGCCACCATTAACATGATGTCTATTTTGCTGTTTTGCTGAAAACCTTACTTTGGTTGTTTGACCATCGCCTTCTGTTTTCAGTCTTCACAAACTCAAGTTTGTATTTCCACCAGCGACCCTTTGTGTCGGTATCCTGCACGGTCTCAAATTTAGCAAAAGGTTGATTAGGGGTGTTGATGGTTTTATAATCACCAACAACCCAATCCAAGTCTTGCTATTATTTCTAATATGATTTGCGAGAGACCAGACACAGTGGAACAATATATAATTTAAATGAGCGTTTTTTTTTATCCAAACCGTGATACAATCTTGCCTGGATATATTCCAAATACCAGCACATGTAAATATTATAAAAGGTAGTCTATTTATATAGCGAAAGACTGCCGCTTATCAGCAACACACGCCACTTATCAGCGCCACAATCCACAAGTCGTCGTCGTCGACTTCCGTATCAACGTATCTTCGTCTTCAATTTTCGTTTCGTCGTTTGAAGGGCTGACTCCTATCTACGACATCACGACTTTCGCTTTTTCCGACGTCGTCGGAAGTCGTCGGAAACGTGACTTTCCTTTTCCACATCTTCGACATC